AATACTGATTTATACAATCTTCTGTTCAGAAATCGATGTATTCACGAACAATATTTTTCCGCCACAAAACCCATATTAAATATATCATATCGGTATATTCACTATAAGAATACAAGTACATACGAGGTATGATTATAAATTTATTCTACAAAAGCATTTAACGAACTAATAATTACGAACTACGAGTTTTGCGAAAAAAAAACCTATCAATTATTTTCGAATTTAAAAACAAAAACAAGAAATATTTAAATTATTTATTCCTATAGTTCTGTATAATTTCAAAAGTAAATATCTCTTGAACGAAACGTTTGCGAGCATACATCCAGAGGAAAATTTGTTTGTCTTGAATTTATGTTTTAAGTTTAGCGGTTTAATCCGGGAACACCCTGAATAGTTCGCACTGTTAACTGAGCTGATTCTGACAGCCTTTTTTTCACATTTTTATTTGAAATTTGAGGAATCCTTGTACTTATTATTGTTTGAAATTACAATAAAAGAAGAATTTCAGAAATGTTATATATCAAAAAACAAACAGTAGAAATTAAATTACAAAAAGAAATTAAATTACAGAAAGTCTAGACGAATCTTATTTTGTTTTATTAAAGTCCGTTCGGAATATCAACAAATAAATATACGTAGAGTTCTTACTGTCTATCCTACAAAAACATTCTCACATTCAAATCTAAATCGTTTGATGGACATTATAACTGTTTTTTGTAATCATTGCAATTTCTGACTACATCTTTTTTGAGATAATTAACCTCACACTATATCGACGTTTCACCAGTTAGAATATAAGGTTACTTCATTGTAAACTTTGATTGCTCATCTATATTACAACAATCCATCTTAAAAAAATGTTTCACCGAATTATGTCAAATTAATATTCTATCATCTAACGTCTCACTGAAGAAGGACTGGTGGTCCCAAAATGTACTCACTTAATCTTTATAATTTTTTATATTTTTATATGTCGATTGAATAATCATTAAAATTTTTGTCAATCATTTTTGGCTCGATCACTGATCTTGTTTAATATTTTATATAAATATATATTATAAAATATATATTATAAAATATAAAATTCTTAGAATAAGTTATATTTGCATTTCTTTAAACATTTATTGATTTAAAAATAAAATAAGGAACTTACCAAAAGGAATTGAGAATTACAATATAAAAGTGTTAGATAATCAAAATAAAATTAATGAATTAAAACTGATGTTAAAAACGTATGAAAAGAAGAGTATAAAAAAACCACCGCACAAGATATTGTTTGTGATGTTTAATTATCATTACATTAATAAAACATTAGACGTTTCGGCCACAATCCATCTTCAGTAAATTCACAATATTCTTAAAACGCAGAATTACAAATAACTGACATTAAATTCAATCGTCATATGATATAATTATATATAAACGTGTTCTTTCATCATGTGAAGGTGCCTCGTACAACAATGTTACACCACCAATTGTCATATCACGAAATATGTAGAACAAGAATGTCTTTTCATACGTTTTGATTTATAAACCACCTTCGTTTTATGATAAATGATGTTAAAAACTTAAAAAATTCAATGTTCACCTTGCAAATAAATTAAATGTGATGAAATCATTGTGCGAAATCATACAATGGTTAGAGTCACAATAATAAATAAGATCAATTCTTAATGACAATATAGCGGCAAGACAGAACTTTGTTTATTTAATATTGACACGTATGCATATGCGTAGTGTAAATATTTTGTTTCCGACTGTAAATTAAGACTATCTTTTATCTTTTTATATAAAGAGTTTCTGAGATTAGTTTTTTCTCTTTCTAAAAATCTCTCTAAAAGTATCAATAAAGTTTGTGATTGTAATTTATCTAGGATTACAGAGTTAGCTATCGTGTTCCTAATAATATAATTATGATGCTCAGAAATCCGTGTCTTAAGTTGTCTACAAGTTTATCCCAAATATGTATCATCACAATCTTTTCAATCAATTCTGTAAACTATATTAATTATTTAAAAATATTAAAAAGGCTCTATATTTATAACAAAAAATAGTATAGAAGAAGGGCAAAGAGTCAATAACATATATAAGACTTTTAATTTAAATAAGCAAAATTAATACAAAACAATTATAATAAATAAACGTTTCAACTCCAATCGAGTCATTTTCAATGTAATCTTAAAATATATAAACATCGTTCTAAATTAAAAATATGCACATGATCTTACAATATTATTATTTCTCAATATCAAATTTTTCATTTTGTGTAGTACGCTGCGAGTCATTTTTATCAAGAATTAACAAAATCATAAGAAAATTCTGGAAAAGTAACCGTAAACAAAAAGAATTAATCACATAAAAATTAGTAATATGATGATGTATATAATGTACCTTAGTAAATCTGTTAAGAGTCCAATAATACACAACGAGAAAAAAATGTAAAATGTAGTCCATTTAGTGGTACAATAAAATAGTCTTTTTATTTTATAAGTTATTATAAGCAAATTCGCAAAGATAATAAGCATCTGACTTACACGATGTCAAAAAACGAAATATCAAGCAGAAAAATATTATCGAGAACGGAAAACGGCAAAATAGGGGGGAAAAGGAGAGAAGATATTAGGAAGGAGAAAGAGAATGTATAATGTCAAAATACAATTCCGGCAAAGACTCCGTGTCATTTTATCTATTTATTCCATGTTTCTGTTTTTTTAATATGGACAATTTTAGATATCAACCTTTTATTATATGAAGGCTCTACATCTAATATGTCCACTTTATTCCATTTGAAATTATGATTCTCCTCAATATGATGGTTGGAAATCACTGATGGAGATTTTGAACTTATATTGATATCAGAAACATGTTCATGCAATCTGATCTTTAATTGTCTTTTAATTTGGCCAACATAACTGACATCATAATCCTCGCAAGATATTTTATAGACTACATTTTGATTCTGAAAGTGTTCCAAATCATCCTTTCCTCTCTTGTGAAACTTTTTAATGTGTTAGGAATGGTAAAAGCCAATTTATACAATTAAACATGTTAACAACAAGGTATAAATCTTTCGGATATCGTATTGACATATGGAATCATAAAAAATCTCTCTGCGTCATTCTTGTTCTTATTCAAATTATTAATCTTGTTAATGTGATATTTAATTCTGTATGAATAGTCGAAAAAATAAAACGTAACGGATACCCTATATTCTGTAATTCTGTAAAAAAATCTTATTGTAATAGCGTCAATCAAATTATTTCGTTGAAATTTCGGATGACACAAACAAAAAACTTTGTCCACAACTTCATAAATTACACCTCTTTTATGACAAAGTGGATGGTGTGAATGGAAATTAAGAAATCTACCGGAAAAGATTGCTTTATGGTATATATCAAAAATAAGATTCCGTTCTTCAATAATCAACATAGTATCTAAAAAACTTATTTTTTCATCAAAGCCAACCTCTATAGTGAACTGCAGAAATTATAATTAATTATTTATATTTATATTTAGGAAAATGTTTTTATAGCATTCAATAAAGCATCGAAATTTATTCAGATTAAAGTAAGATAAACAATATTAGGAATCTTTATTTTAAATATATGTGAGAAACACAATTAATACTAGAAATTTAAAATGCCTATTACGATCGAAGCTGGATCTTCATCGCTTTAAATAATTCAATCTTGAATTACTAATTTATACTATATATATACTTACATATATACCATAGCTTCGAACGCTAGCTGCGCGCGCGCGCGTCGAATTGTTTTTCCGGACTATAAAGACAATTAAAACTAATAATCGCGAATTAAATTGACAATCAATTTTAATAACTTGATGCTACAATTAAGCATTATAAAGTAAGATAGTTTTGTTTCTAGAGCAGCGATCATAATTTCAAACAGAAAGTTTCGCTTTTCACAATTCATTCAGATTTTCCGCTCATTCAAATTCCGCGTGAACTTTTCCGAGCGATCATGTATGAAGGATTTGTGAAAAGTAAAATCACTTCACATATCACATGTAAATGAAGGTATATTTAATTTTTACAATACATTATGTTTACACAGACAATTATCGGAATTTAGATAATATTTTATTTGTACACGTATTAATATCAAATGAAGCTAAAAAATAGCTTTGAACTTGTTAACAAGCTTAATGGTATGATATTAAATTCTAATTATAAAATAGTATATTTCAATATCTATGTATACTAATATTCCTGAAGACTTAGTCGTAAAGAGTATTGAAATAAGATGGAATTCTATTTCACTGAATACAAACATTCCTAAAAATTAATTTTTGAAGGCCATCTCGTTAGTCTTTAACTTCACTTATTTCAAATTTGATAACCACTTTTTCAAACAGTTCTTTGATATGCCCATGGGATCTCCTTTGTCACCTAGCTTGACGGATATAGTAATACAAGACAAGGAAAAAAACACTTTCTCTATATCAATATAAACATTTCAATCTATTATAGATATGTTGATGATATCATTTTGGCCGTGCCGATCAACCAAATTAATGAAATTCTAAATAAATTTAACTCGTATTATGACAGACTGAAATTCACTTGTAAACATAATAATGATGGTCCATTAATTTTCTTGACGTGAGTCTAAGAGTGGAAAATGGATACATTAAATTTGACAATTATAAAAAACCGACTAACTCGGAACGATATCCTAACTACAATTCAAACTATCCTATAGAACATAAAAGAGGCGTCATAATCGGTCAACTAGATAAAATTCTCTTTTTGTCACATTCAGAATAACATTGAGTGATAACATTGAGTCCATGATTAATATTCTACTGACTAATGATTACCCTTTGGACTTTAATTTTTTTCACAATCAATAAAAGAATTAAAACTTTATCAAAACGAAAATTTATATAATAATACAAGGAATGATTATGACTCTAATAAAAACTTTTTAAGATAATATTTTACAATACCTTATATGAAGGACATCTCGGAAAAATTTAAAATGATTGCGGAAAAAAAAATTTCAAAATAGCTTACAAACCAATGAATACGATAAAATTCAATTATTAAATTAGGTAAAGACAGATTAGAAAGAATGGAACAATGTAATGTCATATACAAAATAAACTGCCTCGATTGTGACTTCTCTTACGTGGGTCAATCTAAAAGGAAAGTTAAAACTAGAATAAATGAACATAAAACTAATATTAAAAAATTAAATAGCGCTCATAATGTTGTCTCACAATATCAATTTGAATATTGTCTCAAATTTAATTGGGATAATATTCAAATATTAGATATAGAACTATTCTTTCAAAAGAGACTAATGTCAGAAATGATCTTCATAAAAAAACAAAATAACGGAATAAATGAACAAAATGACACGGAAAAATTACCAGAAGCATACTTGCCCTTGTTAAACATAACTGCTTCCATAATTCTAGAATTTTCCACTCGCGGGACATAAATTGTATATAAACCATCTTTCATGATTAGATATTGTGTTTTCGATTCTTGAGCAGTTCAATATAGTTTTCCAAGTCTTGGATTCTACAACTCAACTTATTGTTAAGAGGTATCATAATTTATTTATATATATATATATATATATATATATATATATATATATATATATATATATATATATATATATATATATATATATATATATATATATATATATATATATATATATATATATATATCGCAGTTAAATTTATTTTTTCAATGGAAGAGTTATTAACATTATTAATAAAATTCCCATTTAATAGAATCTGGAAATTATGTGTTTCAATATCGACGTTGTGATAAAAAAAAACGACAATTAGCATCTGGTATATGATTTTATGAACTAAAAAAATATTTTATAATAATAATCTGAGCGTCAAGCTCTTTTTAATAAATATAATTGTAAATTATAATAATATAATTGTAATTGAGCGTAAAAAATATTTTATTTCATTATTATAACGTGAATAAAATTTATTCGATGCTAAGTGTTCTCAACATGTATGAAAGTTATAACACATATATTAATTTTGTAATACTGAAGATGGCCTGATATAAGGCCGAAACATCTATTTTATTATATTATTTTTATTCTATGGTAATCTATTAAAATATAAATATTTCGCTACTAACATCTTGCGCTCGTGGTGTATGCCTTTCCAATCATTCATATTGTTTAACCACGTTTTGACTTCTATTGTTTTTATAATTTATTGTTATTATAATTATAATTTACATTATTGTTAACTTTATTCATTAGTTTCTATCAGTGAAAAATACAATATATAATAGGTAAAAGATTTAATTAAAATACACTCTTAAATAACATTTAATAAAGTATGATTTAATATTAGGTGTAGTAAAAAGAAATCCATTATTTTTCCAATAGATGGCTTTAGTAATCTGTATCACACGTAGACGAGATACAGATTACTAAAGCCATCTATTGGAAAAATAATGGATTTCTTTTTACTACACCTAATATCTATTAAACATTCTATAATATATTTATTCGTACCTGCGAATGTTTTGCTTTTTTGAATTTAAGGATCCCATCGATCCCTTGCCAACGGAAGTAGACCTTCTTAAGATTCTTGACATTTGATATATCTTCAGTCTAGTTGAGCTTATCGCGTGATGTTTCCTAGGCTTGAGTTCAACGGGTGGCAGATGTCGGTTAACCATTGTTTCCTTTAATGTTTGGAAATTATAAAGTAATTACAAGAATTGAATTTAAAAAAGATAAACATTAGCTTTCTTTTTCTATTCAATATAAATACAGAATCTGTTTGGTACAGTATATGTTAATTACATGAATGTAATTACTTTTACATACATACATATATATTTGTCAAATGATAATATATTAATTAATAATCGATAATTTGTTAAAATTAAATTATTTAAAATGTACACAAAATTAACAATTTTCTAATAAATAAATTGTTCACAGATATCTACTTGTAAAACATTAATTTGATCAAGTTGCATATTTAAAGACTCCATATCAGTATCTGAGCATGTATACATATATATTTATTCTAAATAAGAATCAAGGAGACAAAACTCAATATATATATTGAGTTTTGTCTCCTTGATTCTTGTTTAGAATCAAGCTCAGATACTGACATGGAGTCTTTGAACATGCAACTTAATCAAATTAATGTTTAAAAGTAGATATCTATGAACAATTTATTTATTAGAAAATTGTTAATTTTGTGTACATTTTAAATAATTTAATTTTAACAAATTATCGATTATTAATTAATATATTATCATTTGACTGAACGTTATAATCTTACTCAATGTGTTAGTTTTGTAAAAATTTTGTTTTAAAAACTTTATACCATAAATCTTTATAAGATATATAATTAATATTTAAAAGATTTACTTATTAAACAATACATAAATGTTGTTAAAAATGTATACTTCACTTATATTACAAAAATGATTCATTTCACTCATTTACAAATTTACTTTTATTTTATATTTATACATAAAAATAATTAGCAATTTATAATAAATTGCCTCAAATTACTCGATTTGAAATATAGAATATTACTTATAATATTTCAAATAGAAGTAGAAGTCTATCTCACCGTGCATTATAACGAAAACTGATAAAAAATTATTCGAATAACATATTTTATCTCTTCGGAGCAATCAATAGTTATGATTCATTTATTATGATAAGATAAACGTCAAAAGTCTGTATTTTATTTCTATAGTAAAATTCGAGGAATCAAATTAAAGACATTTATTTCGCTATACAATTGCAAAATAAAGTTTATAAAATTGCGGTATAAAATATATTCATAAAACTTACAAATATTATTTATTTATTTATATAGGCACTAAAATAAAAAATACTTTTCTTCAATATTTAAAAGGCATCTAATAAAAACTGTTAAATATAATTAATCAGGGTTGTTTGCGGTCAAAGAAATTAAGGGAAACTAGGAAAGTCAAGGAAATTAAAAAGTAATTAGGGAAAACAGGGAAAAGTCAGGGAATTAAGAAGTTTCTAACCTAAGGCAACATTAAATTACTATAATGCCAATTCTAAGTTAAAATTAATTTATTGTAATGACAATTCTAAGTTTAAACTTGACTTTTTTAATATATATATGTATATATTTTTTTTGTCAACATTTTTTGTGATTCAATTTTGCAGTGAGCAATTTACAAAAAATGTTTAGCGCACATTGTTAAAAGGAAAAAACTTCACAAAAGTCAAGACTTGTATGTATAAATAGAAAGACATTAAACAAAAGACTTGATATTATATAAATTTATTTTTTTAAAAAAGGTAAAAAAGCGCTAGAAATACTTTGTGAGAAAATATTTTACCGAATTAAAAAATGAATTTATAAGGAAACATTAAACACAAAAGAATACATGATATCAATACAAAACTTACCTCTTTATAAGAAGAAAAAGGCGCTAAGAATGCATATTCTTCGAAAAAGATGTATAATTGATTAATTCACATAGTGTATAAGAAGACATTAAATACTACAAAATAAATGATATCAGTATAAATTTAAAAAAGATAAAAAAGTGCTGTGAATACATATTCTGAAAAAAAATTTTATTAAATTAAAAAATGAAATATAAAACATAATAAATAAGAAGCCTAAAACATACGAATGCTGTTTTTTGCCAAAGTGATATATATTTAAAATTTAAAATGTGAACGTTTCAGCCAAGTCTTGACCATTATCAGTACAAATAAAAGAATGCGAGATGTTAAATAATAAAAACGCTAATTAATTATGTCGAAGTTCATATCCAAAAATTATTCCTATTATGTAAGAAAGTTCGTATAATTACAATCATGTAAATAATTATACGAACTTTCTTACATAATATTCGTACCGACATAAAATTCTTTCATCTTCGTGAATATTCTTCACCAAATAACATCGCTTGGAATCGTTTACATTTTTAAATATATCACTTTAGCAAAAAACATCATGTGTATGTAGCTGCATGCTCTTTTTTATTTATATTTTATGATATTGAGTCACTTCTAATAACTATTGTTAAATGAAATGTAAGTTCTAAGTAATAATAATTTTTTATTAATTTATTTTTATTAATAAATAAATTTTTTTTTATTAATTTATATATGATGAAACCTAAATAATACTTATTTTTGTAATTCAAACAACATACATTAATACTATTAATATTACAAAACAAGTTACATTTTTAAAAAACTATTTTTTTAAAAAAAGATAAGAGGGAGATGTAAACTACACATATATGTCCAACAAAAAATTGATGTGCCAAATTAAAATTAAAATTTAAACAATTTGTAATATCACAAAATTTTATTTACAATTCAAACAATATGAATATATGAATTCAACAATAGGAATTTGACACAAAATGAGGGGATTTCTTTGTCTACAAATCAATTGCCTACAAGTATTATTGCCTACAAGCATTTTTGCGTACACATAAAAATTTTAGAAACAAAGTGACATCTGTCTACACGTAAGATAATTCAAGGAAAGATGCTACAAGGGGGAAGATGCCACTTTGTTTATAATTTTTTTATAGAACATTCATTGGCTATACTGACTGAAAAAAGCATGTGGTAAACAGTTGCGCAGTTATCGCGGCAGAGATGAACATATTCATGCCAAAGTCGATTAATTACATGAAATATGAAAAGATAGGTCGAAATGAAACATGCTTTTTGTAATATTTGGTATGCTAATAGTTAAGGTCTGTATTTCGATGCTTACTGTAAAACCGGGCAAATGATATACGGTTTTAATCAGTGTTCTCAGGAGATCATGTGAATGATATAGATTATAATTTGTAATATTCTTATTGCGTAAAAGTTGCAATTGAATATTTCTCTTACACTTAGTGATAAGATAATAAATAAAATGGTAAATACAAAACACAATTTTTTTTGCTTGAAACCGTCATTAAAATGATTTTATGAATTAAAATTTTGGACGCTTTACATGTATATAATTCAAAATATTTTAAATTAACGAAATAATGTTTAAACGAATAAAAGTATGTCCAACTTACTTGCTAAATTACTCTCTTTCATATTTCATCAATTTATGTTTTATCATACCTTTATGTGTTCTTGCTTAAATCCTCGATTATATACTATAAAGTAAAACATGCAAGGTTATATTGCATCACATTATTTAATTTGTGACATCTTTTCCCATAGGAGGTGGCATCTTACCCATACATATAGGGAGAAGTGCTATTTTTGCCAGGGTATGACATATCAATTTCTTTTAATAATATGGAACATCAAAAGTTTAATTCATTGATTTGTATGAATAAAAAAAGGTTGCTAAAATATAATTAATATTTTTTTGTTCGTTAATTCAGTAACATTAAGAAGTTTATTCAAGAATAAAGACCACTTAAGTGTGGCGTCCCCCCAATGACTTTATTATTGCCTATAGATCGATCACCTACAAGCACTTTTACGCAAACAATAATAAATTTAAGAAACTAAGTCACATTTATCTGTATTATTGTCTGCATGTATTATTATTTACACATATTATTGCTTACAGCTCGACTGCCTACATGCATTTTCGCACACAAATAAAAATTTCAGAACAAAGTTACTTTTGTCTATGTATATGTAGTGCCTACATGTACTGTTGCTTACAAGTATTATTGCCTACAGCTCGATTGCCTACATGCATTTTCGCACACAAATAAAAATTTCAGAAACGAAATCGCGTTTACCTACAAGTATTATTGCCTACATGTACTATTGCCTACAAGTATTATTTAGCCTCTTCAGCACAAAATATTGCAGTAATATTACAGCAATATTTCAATAACGCACAATATTACAAAAATTGCGGCGATACTGCTGCACTATCGAATTTATAATATTTTATTAGAAATAAAATTAATAATTAAATAAAATAATTTCTATAATATTGAAAATATTGTAATTTTAATTTTATAGAAAACATTGCAATATATTGTTGCAATATTGCAATTCAATAAATAAGTACAGACTCGCCACGCAAGGGATACATCTTTTGTAAAAAGAAAACGTCCAGAAGTTCTATAAAAAGGAGTACGCAAGTATAGTTGAGTAGACGAGTCTCTTGTAGATTCCTAAATAATCCTGATTAACATCCATTGAAGAATATGTCTTATTTAACCAAACGTTGAATGATAAAGCAATTTGTAAATGCTTTGTAAGTACTATTTTAGAATACTTCAGAAATACTGATAACGAATTTGATTGAAACGCACTCAAAATGAATAGTAAACGAGAATGGATTAAAATGGATTGAAATTTTTTTCTATCCAAATGCGTATTTTAAATAGCGAATACTTTTTTTGGATTTAATTGGATTCAATTAGATTCAATTAGATTCAATTGGATGCAATTGGATTGAAAAATTGCATTTCCTATTCAAAATTTTGAATTGAACAGTATTTACAATGTTGTGTATGTGTGCACAGAAAAAGCTAATATTATTTTTAGATTGAAAGGCATAGAAATATGCTCAATGCAATTCCTATAAATAAATAAAAATGCATTCAGGATTGAAAAGCATTCATTTTAACATTCGTGAATCAATATTTCTGAAAATCTGAATCTATTTCAATTCATTTCAATCCATTCTCATTTGCTGGCAAAGCCATCGTACACAAATTGATGTAAAAATG